AACTTCTATTAGATTAAAGTTACTAGCCTTCTAGAAAAGAATATATTTAAGGTTATTTCCAGATCTCAAATACTAAAATAGATATATATCTTCAATTTCTGGTTTATTAATAAAATTAAGAATATAGATATAAAGAAAGAGTTTAAGAAGTTGAGACTAGGTATCTAGACTTATAATAATAGTAAGAAATATATAGTATTAATATAATTACTTACTATTTAATATATTAGCTAGAGAATTATTCTTAGTATTACTATTATAATAATAGATATTATAGAACTATATTTCTATAATATCTTATAAGCTTATATCTAATTAATAATCTTACTTAATTATAATTTCTATATTAACTTATTTTATAAGTTTACTAGAGAACTAAATCTAAATAATAATTCGGTTCTAAAGGTTATAAAACTATTATATAATATACTAGAAGCTAGAAACTATTAGTTTAAGACTTATTATTTCTATTATATTAATAAGCTTTCTATAAAATAGTTAATTTATAACTCTTATCTTCTCTATAATAAATAACTCTTTGAAATTATTAGCTTTTAAACTAATAATACTCTATTTATTAGAACTAATAATTTTATAAAAATAAAGTAACTAAAGCTTTAAAAAGCTAAGTTTTTAGCTAAGAAGTATAAATGCCTTACTATTAACTATAATTTCAAGTTTAATAGAAATATTATCTATATAGATACTACTAGAATTACTCTTATATAAAAATACTAATATAAAAACCATTAAACTATTTCTATAAAGAATACTACTACTATAAGTAATAGAAGTACTATTTGTTAAAATCTCTCTATTAAGAACTAATATATTATCTAATATACTAGAGAAGTATATATTATATTAGTCTACTAACTAGAAGCTTTATATAATCTATTAATTACTACTCAAGCTATTAAATCTTCGGAAACTAATATAAAAGTACTTAATAAGTATATTTAATAACAAATTAAGAATACTACTAGAGAATTGAGATTTGTAAAGCTAGTAAAGAAGTTCTTATATTTAATTGTTTTTATAAATACTTTATTTATAAATAATAAAGATCTCTCTTTTTAAATCAGATATATTCTAGTTCTAGTAAATAGAACTAAATATACTAATATTATTTACTAGTTCTCTACTAAATATAAGAGAATTATTAGAAGTATTCTAGCTTCGGAACTTTATAATATAGCTTATAGCTTTAATATAGGTACTTCAGTCAAATTTATAATTAATAAAATACTGGAAATAGAACTATTACTAGTAATTTATATAGATTTGAAGTTATTATATAAATATCTTATTAAATTAGAAACTACTTAAGAAAAGTATCTAATAATTAATATAATATACTTCTACTAGATATATAAATAATAAGAGATTATAGAAGTTAAATAAATTAAAAGAGAATCGAATTCTGCTAATTCTATAATAAAATCGAAGCTAATAAATATCCTCAAATATCTAATTAATATAAATACTATATAATTAAATATAGAGAAATAGGTCAAATATAGATAGGATAGGAAATAGATATATAGAATAGAAAAATATTATAAGAAGAGAAGTTATATATAAAAGGCTATAGCCTTTAGTATATAACTAAAACTTTAGAAGTAATATAGATATATAGAGTATTTGGGAATTTGGTACTAGGCCGAATTAGGGAATTTGTATATAATTAGAGAGAAATATTATTTTTCGTATTTTTTAGAGAGTTTCTAGTATTAGTATAGCTATTTCTTTAGAAATTATATATATAGTTATAGAATATAGATATAAGATATAAATAATAGGATATAAAATATAGAATATAAAATACAGGATATAGTTATATAATCTCGTATTTTATTAGTAACTCGATTAGTAGACTAGACTCTTTTAGGCTTAGCAGATTTAGGAATTATATATTAATACTATAATACTATAATTCTTACTTCTAAATAATAATAACTTTACTAACTAATATAACTAGTATTTCTATACCTATATAATAGTACTATATATTACTAGTAAACTAATAGATATTTAGAAAGCTAAGCCTCTTTAGAACTAGTATACTATAAGGTATATATACTTTTTTATAGTTTTCTATATTCTAGTTTTCTCTTCTTTAGCTTTAAATTATTTTTATTAGAAACCTTTTATTTTACTTTCCAAATCTAGAATACTATATCTATAATAGATTTGAATTTCTAGCTTTTCTAAATCTTTTTTCTATTATATTTCTGCTTCTAATTTAGTAATATAATAGTAAGCTATTACTAATTTCTTTATTATTATTATTCTATTAGCTAGTTCTAGAAATATTCGAATTCTATTTCCTTTTTCTAACTAGATAATATAAAGAGTATTTAATTAGATACTTTTCTAAATATCTAATTAGATTATTCTAATAATAATAGAAGTATTTTTTGTAATTAATATTCTAGCTATTAATAGTTTTATCTATTAATAATTTAATTATCCTATAATAAACTATTTTCTAAAAATTAGATTAATTAAAATATAAGATATATAATAGTAAAATAATATATAAATAATTAAGATAAATAAGCTATAGAATAATACTTATAAATATAACTAATTTCAAGAATTAATTCTAATAAAAGACTAATTAATATTCTTTTCTAAAACTAGAAGCATTTCTTTATATATTTTCTAGTATTTAGTTAAGTCTATAAAGTACTTTATTTAACTAGAAAATATAATTCTATATAATTTATATAATTCTAATTATTTATATAATTCTAATTATTTATATAATTCTAATTATTTATATAATTCTAATTATTTATATAATTCTAATTATTTATATACTATTATATATATCTATTACAAGTTTAGAAATATATTATATACTTATATAATAAAAGCTATTTCTATAGATTTAATTATAAAAAAATCTTTTAGTTAGTAAATAATTAGTAAAAAAATATCCGGAAAAAAATAATAAAAAACTAATTTATAATTCTAAATTTATAGGCTCTAAGAAATATATTAGAATACTAAATAATAAAGGTATTTTTATTTCGAATAATTTTAATTTAAATAGAAATCTCTAATAAAATATAAAATAATTACTAATATAGATTACTAAAATACTTAATATATTTAAATAGAAATACTTAAATTATATAACTATTCTAATATTTAATTAGTTTTTTATATATATTTTATATATATTTTATATAGTAAAAATATACTAAATGCCTTTAATATAAATAAAATACTAAAAAGAATTAAAAAAAAAAAGTAATATTAAGGCTTATAAAAGAAATATATATTTTTTATTAAAATATATAATTCCGGAATTATAAGATATTATTTAAGTTCTTTAATAATTTAATTTAAATATAAAAATAAAGCCTAAAAATATAAAATAGATTTTTATTAAATAAGATTATAATATATTTTATTTAAGATTTAAATATATTATATTTCTTAAATATTTTATTATTATTAAATATTTTATTATTATTAAATATTTTATTATTATTAAATATTTTATTATTATTAAATAAATATGTTATTTAGTTTATATACTATTAAATTACTAAGATTTCTTTAAAAAGAAGTCCCAAATTAAAAAGCTTATTATAAATCGAAAATATAAGGCTATATTTTTATTAAAGTTTTATTATAAAATTAATCTAATTAAAATATACTAGAAATATAATAAAACTCGATATTATTAAATAAAGAAAACTAGCTTTCCAAATATTAAGATTAAAGTAATAAAAATATTTAAAGCTTATTTAATTAAGATTATATAAAGATTTTATAATTATATATTCTATTAAATAAATATATATTAGAAGGAATTAAATATTAAATAAGCTATTTAATATATATATAAGTAAAAACATTATAGAATAATATTTAAAAAGATAATAAATAAAGGAAATAATATATAAAAGTAAGAGAAAAAGGGTAACTAAATAATAAATAAGATTTATAGATTTAATTTAGCTAAAAATTAGCTTGAAATCTATATAATTAGGGCTTTATTATATATATAATATATATAATATTAGAAAAAGCTATATTTAGTATTTAGAAAGATTAACTTAAGCTTATAAGACTTAATTATTATTATTATACTAATAATAAGACTAGTAAGATGCCGCGATCTTTCTCTAAAGTCCGGGCTCACGTGATCTTAGTAAGCAAATATATTTGCGTTTTATATAAGGAAAAATCAAAAAAGTAAAAAGGGTCCGTATACTTTAAACCTCGATTATTAATGAACCACAAATAGTATTAAAAATCTAATTAATAGGTGTTTTTCGCTTGGTTCTATTCTATAATCGCATTACTTAGTATTAATTAATTGGGGTTGTGGTTAAAAGGTTATTATAGGCGTAAAAGAGCGACCGTTTTGTCGCTTTTGGATCGGACCGACTGTAGTTGGCCAGATCGCTTTTACGAACCACCAGTGGTAACTTGTGGAAGGTACGTACGAACAGGTAACAGAACTAATTACCGTCCCTCGTGCTAAGAACGCCAAGTCTCGGCCACCGAGACAGTGCGAGTGTTACCTCAGATTAATTGTTACCACAGTCCAATGCTTTCGGGCCGTGATAGTTCGAAACATTGTATCAAATTATCCATTGCCGAAGCCGAAGTTGGATTTTATGAGAACAATGAAAGAGTTGCAGAAATAGCCTTGCTTCGCCGAGACCTCAGCTCACGCGCAACCCTAACCGAAGTCCCGCACCAAAACACGTCCCGCACCAAAACACGCGAAAAACACGTTTAATACTACTACCAAAATGCGTAATAAATTCATTAAATCAAGTCGTATTAATAAGGCAGTAGCCGCAATTCAAAGAGGGGAGTTTACTTATTATGCCAATATAGCTAGGGAGTTCAAGTGTAACCGTAGCGCTGTCTCCAGACGAATCCGTGGCCTCACGAAGTCAAAGAAGGAAGCGAATTTATTTTGGTACTAATATTTAACTATCGAGCAAGAGGAGTATTTAATTTATTAAATTAATACTCTTACTAATCAAGGAATACCACTGACTAGTCATATTATTAAAAACCTTGCAGAGAAGATTAAGGGAGGGCCGCTAGGAAAGAACTGGGTTAGCCAATTTGTGAAGTATTACTCCATTAGGCTAAAGAGCCTTTATTTACGAAATATTGATAATTTACGTACTAGCGCTAAGTACGCTCTAATATTCTAATTATTTTTTAGCGTAATTTATTACTTTATTATTATTATTCTATATATATATTACTTGGGTATCTGCTAACGTATATCTGCTTTACTAGCTCGTAATAGTGATTAAGAAATATCGAATTATGGCCGAAAATATATATAACTTTAATAAAAAGGGATTCTTGATAGGATATGGGCGATCTTTGAAAAGAATTATGACCAGAGCTACTCTGGAATCGGGTCGAATCTCCAAATCAAAGCAAGATAGAAGCCGCGAATTTATTAGTATCTTAGCTTATATATCTGTAATCGGAAAATGGATACTACCGCTTTTAATATATTAAGGCGAATTGGGAGATCTTATAAGTATATGGGTTAATAAAGTTATAACTGATTTAAAGGCTCATTTTACGGTTTCGCATAATAGATAGTTAAATAATATAATTGGGCTATCTTGGCTTTAAAATATATTTGAATAATATACCAAACCACCACATATGACTCAAAAACATCTTCTTATTATTAATGGGTATTTAAGTCACGTTAATATGGCATTTATTAATTAGGCTAATTAATATGGTATAATTTTATTAATCTTACTCCTATATACGACTTACCGGCTTTAGCCCCTTAATATTAGACTTTTTTAACTATTATTAACTGCATATTCTTGGGAACTTGATATAATAATAAACGAATCGGGCGGGCTTATTAGAATAAGTAAAAGCTTCTTTTGGCCAAAGTTTAAGAGATCTTGGGACAAGGCATTTACGGAAAAGAATATCTAATTGGCATTTTGCAAATCAGGAATATGGCCAACCGATAGTAGTCTTATTATTAAGACTATTACTCGCCCCACACTTGCATTACCTGAAAAACTATCTGGATTACGTCCTCCAAGGTCTGCGAAATCGATTCGTCGATTTTATTAAGCATACGATAAAGAACCCACGATTGACAAGATCAAGACGATTTTCTCAACCACGCTTCACCTCGCCGCGCGAGTCTCTGTTCTGGAGCACGAAAATCGAGGTTTATATAAAGCAATCGAGCTTTAAAAGAAGAAGGGTCGACAGGGCATTCGTTTGAATCTTGCTGGCGAGGCAAATAAGGGCTTGATTAATTACTATTCTCCTGGGAAGATTATTAAGGCTAGGGAGTACCAAGAAGAGAAGGAAAGGCTGAGAATCGCAGAGGAGGAAGCTAAATTAGAAAGAAAGATCAAAAGGGCCGCGAATGCCCTTAGAAAGAAACAGGAGAAGGCAAAAAGAGCGGCAGATAGGGAGGCTAAGGCTGTCCAGAAGTAATTGGCGGGGGACGTGGAGCTGGCCGCCAAGAGAGCACCCAAGAAGTAGCCAGTTTCTATTGCTCCCAAGGCAAAAAAAGCTGCTCCAGTGGTATCAACTAAGCGGAAAGCACCTATCAAAGCTAGGCGCCCTGCAAAGGTAGTGGTATAGCAAGAGGTGATTGCCCAAATTAGTGAGGTAGTCACATCGGGGGTAGCACAGGCGAAAACGAGTACGCGTATAATTACGCTACCATAATGCTTTAGACAAAAAAACTGAATTGCACAAGTTCAAGATCTCAATTGACTCTATCCTGTGATTTAATATTATTTTATTTGGATAAGTGGTTGTGGAGTAATTAATTATTAAAGTTCGGGGCGAAATGCGAATTCGCGTGTTTTTGATGCGGGACGTGTTTTGGTGCGGGGCATCGGTTACGGTTCATTGGCGATGATGCTGAACAATGGCCCCACTCCCCTCAGCATCGGAACGTTCCGTCGTGCTACTATCGCAGCCACCCCCATGCGCCCACGATAAGGAGCCAGAATATGAATATAGCTCTGCGAACTTCTTCAAACCTTCGTCTCACGAGAATCGAGTGACTTCGATTCGCCCGAGTCCGCATGATACTTGTGGTCCCGAAGCGCGCTTCAAACCATGGCAGAACCTCCACCAGCTCTGCAAGCTGAACAGCGTCAACAATCGTCCTCGAGATCACCCACAGGCTCACCCCCAGCCACAGAACAATCGAACTTCCAGCAGACACAAGCAGAGATCGTCGCACATCAAGCAGAAACCATAATCGAAGCAGGGGATGACTCGGAGGATCCTGGCTACGAAACAGAGGCAGACTCTCGCTTCTCGACTTCAATATCTTCCTCTGTGCGGGACTACGCATTCGAACATGGCAGACGATATCATAAATTCAGAGAAGGGAGATACAAATTTCCCAACGATGAGAGCGAACAAGAGAGAGAGGATATGAAACATGCGATGGTGGTTAGCCTTTGTGGTGGGAAGCTGCACTACGCACCTTTGAACAACCCACAGAATATAATTGATATTGGCACTGGAACGGGAATATGGGCCATTGATGGTAGGAACCCGATGTGTTATACGAGCGTAACTGAGTGCTAAACTATAACAGCTGGCGACGAATATCCTAGCGCGCAGGTTTTGGGTATCGATCTGAGTCCTATACAGCCGACAGTGAGCACCACTTTCCTTTCTCGTGTGCGAGACCGAGGTTTCGATGGCTGTTGAAGCCCTCGATCCTTTTCCAATCTCATATATAAATGGACATGAATGGCATTGATTTGCGAGCAATAGTGGATTCCACCCAATGTCAAGTTTATGGTCGATGATGCAGAAAGCCCATGGCTACATCCTCCAAACGCGTTTGACTTTGTGCACATTCGACACATGAACTCGTCCATAAAGAACTGGCCTAAACTTCTCACAACAGCCTACAAGTGAGTTTCATCGACATGCTATGGACTTGTACTAATACGCGGCAGTCATATTCAACCAGGCGGCTGGATCGAGCTCCAAGAGTTACAGTTCGTCCTCAAATGCGACGATGGTACTATGAAGGACGATTACGACGTGGAAAAGTTCTTGAGATTTGTCAAAGAAGGACTCGCGGTATTCGGTGTCGACTTACTAGCTGTTACTGGCAATGCGCAACGGCTTCGTGATGCAGGGTTCGTAAACGTGGAGGAGAAAGTGTTCAAGATCCCGCTTGGGACATGGCCGAAGAATAAGACGATGAAAATGATAGGGCTATATCTGAGGAGTGTGATCTACGACGGACTTCAAGGAATTGCTTTGGGTCCATTCACAAAAGGTCTGAAGTGGTCACCAGAAGATGTTGAGTTGTTTTTGGTGGGTGTCAGAAAAAGCTTGATGGACGCCAGCGTGCATTCCTTTCTACCATTCCATGTGGCGTATGGTCAGAAGCCTACGGAGTCTTGAGATTATCACTGATGGGGTCAATATCATTGTTTCTAGACACATACACTACCTCAATGGAGGAGCTCATCATGAGAAGTCCGTCCTCTCTCTGTTTGATCGATATAAACTAAGGAGCTTCGCCGCAAACCAGATTTAATCGCGAGGTTTTCCACCGCTTCCGCCTATTTTCATAAAAATAGGAAAGGCGTAATTTCTTAGAAGAGCGCATGGTTAGAGAGAAATAAAAAAATAAAAAATATGGTTTCGCTGAAATTTGCTTTTGGGTGTGCCTTGCCTATTTTGGGAAAGACTAAAACGACCCCGTGGGGTGTCGATGGGGGTGTCACATGTACGCCACCTGTTATTCGAAAGCCTCTTCGGGTGCCTATATTCCAAAGCACTATATTTGTAGAAAACGAGCTCTGAGCAGCTGATTTACGCTTGGGGCTCTATAAAGATCTTGATAATCATGTCTCAGCTACAATCACGTGGATAACTTTGTCTTTAGGAAATGCGCTACTGTAGGAAATTACGAGATTAGAAGTTGACCTCCTCCTCCTTCTTCACCTCTATTAACATTCAACAACAAGCATTGTCTTTCTCACAACCTCCTAGACTGCTTTCTTATTCGAATGATTTCATGCGCGGTTCCGGGCGATATCTCATTTCTAGTTGGCGGCGAACTCGTCGACGAATCAAAGAAAGTCTTGTTTTAGCTCTTGCGGCCCCGGAGAATATTGGCAGGGGCAGGAAGACAAGCTTTTCAGCTCAGCAGGCTCACAGGCTCACACCCGCCCACAAATCCAGCCCTGGCATGCCACCACGACCACGGATTTTGTCGTTCGTTTTGATTGAGAGAAGGCTGTGAAACCGCCGGTCTCAGCCTTCTTCCTGAAGCTCAATAGAACCACGAGTCTGGTTCGATGAATGGCATCTCGCAATGACAGGAATGTCCGAGTGGGCCAGAGTTTTTTTTGGATGTGATTTTGATTTCGTTCAAAAAAGTTCAATTGAAATTCGCGATTTAGACTATCAAAGCATGCGCTGTGCTCGGAAGCACTATCAGCTTCGTTTTGGTGCTGGAAATTGTTCTCAGCTCATGCATTGCTTCGGTCATATCAAAACGTGATAGGTCGCTTGTATGCGGTTGTGGAAGCTGAGACTGCATCTCCTGAGCACCTGTGATGGCTCCCCACCCCATTTCTTACACGCTCTTTCGGCGCCAAGCTCCGGGGCTGAGTCTCCGTGTTCTTGGAAGCATTGAATTGGATTGGCTGGGTCTTCGATTGCTTTGCTGCATGCTGTCCAATTTGGTTCGTAGTGGAGGGGTAGCTATTCATTCTTAAAAACAATGTTCCCATCTGCGCCACCACTACTACATTTTGCTAGATACAGCTTCAAAAAGGTACAGGAAGTCCGAACTTCCCGAAGATAAGAATCTCCACGCTCGTCCCAATATTCTCATTACGACATATATTCGATCGCACAGACAGGAAACCAGCGACCATGGTTAAACCACCCGCAGGTCCCCCTCCGCCAGAAGTCCCAGAAGGATGGAAAGCTCACTGGGACGAAACGTACAAAGCATGGTGAGCTCACATCATTTTGAATATTATTCCCCATCATGCGCTGATTAGTTTGGAGGTTCTATGAGAACATTTATACAGAAGATACGGTCTGGGTGAAGCCCACGGAGCCTGTATACCCTCCAGCACCAGCAGGAAAGAAGCCGCCTGCAGGGCCGCCTCCAGGATTCGTCGCTGATCCAACAGCTTTGACAAACATCATGGCCGCCGTTTCGATCGGCGAGAATGCACCACCTCCGCAACCCGTATATGTTTCATATCCCCAATCTGCTGTTCAGCAACCTTACGGCGGCGCACAATCTCAGCAAACCGCACCCCCTCAACCTCAGCACAACCCCACACAGCCGCCTGCTCAGGCTCAGCAACCTCTCACCCCGCAACAACCAGGTTACGATTTTTATTCTTCACGGCCAGCTGTGGACTCAAGCCAACCCCCCGCTCCTTATCCGGCCCAAGCCCAGCAACCTCCCGCTGTCCAGCAGCCAGTTCATGCCGCATATTCCCAAACCCGAACGACAACTTCCCAACCTGCCGCTTCTCCTTCACCACAGCCTTACAACACACCAGGTACCCACCAAATGATGTACAATCCCAATGACCAACCCACAGCTCCTGGAGCTAGAGCTCTTTCTCCAAATCCAGCTGCTCTATCGAGCCCCTCTCTGACTGCTGGTTCTCCTCCCCCGCAACCCTACAACACCCCTGGTACTCACCAAATGATGTACAACCCCAACACCCCACCCACGGTAGCCGGTGCCAGAGCCCCTTCCACTAATCCAGGCCAACCTGCGGCTGCTGGAGCCAGAGATGCTTCTCCTAATCCAGCCGATCTCTCTCATCAAACCAACAGAGATTACTACGGTCGACCCCAGGGTCAATCACAGTATCCTGCTCAGCCAGCTTATGGCCAACCACAACAATACCCTACCAATCCTGCCTATCCTCCGCAGCCTGCCTACTCTCCCCAGCCTACTTATGGCCAACAACCCCAATACGCAACCCCACCACCAATTCAGCCAGCAGGACAGGAGAAACACGGGGTTATGGGTATGCTCAGCAAGTTGAGTGGACACTCTTCACCTGCTGCAGGCGCTAAGCCGGGAATGGGAGCACTGGGGGGCGCGGCCCTAGGAGGAGGTGCGGGTTTGCTTGCTGGAAGTTTCATTGCTCACGAGTGGCATGAGCATGAAGAAAAGGAGAGACTAGAAGAGGAGAGACGCAAATCCCATAGTAGCGGCTGGGGTTTTGGCGGTGGCCACAGTAGTAGTTATGGATATGGCGACCCTACGATTGTCCAAGAGACGGTGATTGTCGAAGTAAGCCTCTATTCTTCTTATTCCCTCCTTCACAGGCCTTGCGGGTTTCTACTCCCTTCCTCTGTCTCGAGATCAAGATCATTACAAGACACTGTCTGGACTCTCGATCCCACCTTTTGAGACAATACTAACGCGAGCTTCTGGACTTAGGACAACGACACCTATATTGATAACAGCGATACATACGTCGATAATGAGGATACTTACGTGGATAACAACGAGGATAACAACGATTCGTCGTCTTCATCATCTGACAATGACGACGGCAGGGACGACGACGGCGGGAACGATTACTGAGCCTGAAACTGGAAGTTTCATCAGCATCTGAGGCTATTTTCTCTAGATTTTTAGGGTGGTGTATCCAAGCGTCTATCGAGTAATTTCATAGCGATGTTCCTCTGTCGATTCTCAATGTAAGAAATGTGTACTTTGCCTCTTACGCTCTATTTTTGTGGATTGTTGTTTACTGGAAAGACATTCTAGAGAAATTCCCAAGCCGTCTTTTCTTTAACCTTCACTCGAAGCCTGTCAAATGTTCATTCTCGGCATTGCAATTTCCTTGTTTGTCTCACCCAATGAATGCTCTCCATTCAAGATTTCTCTGCCCCACCAATGGGTCATCCAACACCCCCCTCCCCCCCAGAAAAGCCAGAAATGGCTGCAATTTTCTTGGTCATGGCAGACTATGACTAAGGCTTTGAGATCGAGGGAATACTTAAATATAAATATAGTATAACTTAGTACACCTCCTATTTGAAATAGGCAGAGAGGATATAAACACGTTTAGATTCGAATTCATCGCGAGCTATAAATCAGCTGATATTATGTGACTTCAGTGTAATATTCGACTCCGAAATGTACGGAAAGCCGTAAGGATCACTTGTCAACGGCGACAAACGCAAAACGCAAAACTCAAAACTCAAAACGTAAACGATCTTCCACGATTCACCTCACAAAAATGCCCGTACCCACACAATCCCGCCTCCCAACCTAGGCATTCCTAAATGCGTATATAAATATAATAATTAAAAAAAAGATAGTGCTTGATATTTTTCGCAGGGTGCGGCACAGTAAATTATGCATTTCCCGCTTAGACATCACGCTCTTTTGGCTTTCCGTAGGTCACTTGAGGCTCCAAGGCCCAGATTCCAACACTTACCAGGTTGCCACGCATCTCAGATACATTGTCAGACTCTGTCTTCAACACTCCCCACACATATTCAGGACGCCAGATACCAAATACAATGTCCGCATCAAGGGTACTCAAACTGCTCTCGGCACTTGGGTTTGCAGGCGCTCTTCTCTTCGCTGTGATCTTCCAGCATTTGATGCGCCTTCAACCTGATGCCGGTCCTCAAAACCAAGGCAAGGAGCATCCCGGACTTCATATGCTCTCCGAAAGCCCGACTAACGGTATGCAGTTGTTGCCATCGAATTTGGAAGAAGTTACAGTCGTGTCTCAGCATTTAGGAACAACAGCTTCGAGATTATCACTGATCATCAAAACCGCAGCAAGATCCCATCTTACGTGGGCTTCACTGAGTTTGGAGTCCCACTGACTGGCTTTGAAGCAAAAGCGCAAGCTGGCAGTAACCCGGGGAATACCATATATGACCTCAGGTCAGTCTCCTTGCTCTCATGCTCACGAAACCAAAATATTAATACTCATCAGCCTCATCCTCGGACTCTCATGTTCTGACCCCTCTCTTCAATCCATCATCAAAGAGCTACGCTACGATGTCGTATCCCACGACAACCATACTTCAGTCAAACTTCATATCAATGGAACAGCCCAATATTTCACGCCTGCTGAAATCCTATCCCACCATCTCACCCATCTGAGAAACATTGCCTCGGCACAGCTGAATCAAACAGTCTCCTCAGCCGTCATCTCCGTCCCATCCTATTTTGCCGATCCACAGCAACAAATTGTCCTTACAGCTGCTGGACTCGCTGGTTTGGAAGTAAAGAGATTCATCAGCGAAGAAACAGCCGCTGGTATTGCACATCATATTGATACTATGATCGCGAGACACGGCAGAAGGGAGGATAATTTCCTGATTTGCAATCTCGGCGAGCAGGAGTCGAGTATCGCTGTTGTATCTGTACTTAATGGCGTTCTGGAGACGATTGGACTACAGACTGATAGTACGCTTGGAGAGACTCATCTGAAGGACGAGCATCTCCGTCATGTGACAACGCCTGACAGAATCCAAGTGCTCGTTAAGCAAGTTCTTGAGGATGCAAAAATTGGCGAGAAGGATGTCAAAGCTATTGTGCTTACTGGAGATCCCTCGAAGACAGGGATAGTCCAGCCAATACTAGAAGGACTTCTCCGTGGGAGGAAAATTCTACAGGCAAAAGAATTCGCATCTGATGAAGCTGTGGTATACGGAGCTGCTCTACAAGCACATTCTGTCTCGGATGATTATGATGGTGTCTTTCCGTCATTGGTGGATGTGACCTTTTTGAGTTTGGGTATTGAAACGCAAGGAGGTGGATTTGAGAAGGTGATACAAAGGGGAACAGCCATCCCGACAGTGAAGATGCGAGTGATTACTACGATGATGGATGAGCAGGAGAAGGTTGTGATAATTGTTTTGGAAGGGGAAAGACTGGTGGCAAGCAAGAGTCGGGTGCTGGGGAGGCTTGAGCTAAATGGTCTTCCGAAGAGAGGGAAAAGGGAAGTGGAAATCGAAGTAATGTTTGAGGTCGATTTTTATGGAGTCTTGACCGTTGTTGAATTAGAAAGGGAGAGTGAGAAGAAGGCGAAAGCTGTTGTTATGCTTGATTCTGATCGATTTAACGCGGAGGGGATAGACTCGATTGTCACAGAGGCGCAAGGAAGTACAGAGGAGGATGAAGCGATACTAAGAGATCTTTTGAAGAGGACGGATCTAGGAGGAGATGAGAAGTACGGAGTGGTGGTTAAGTGATGAACAGCGGCTTTAGCACCCATTCAGCCAAGCATTGACCGCACTAGTCTCAAAATCCACATCCAAGTATTCTGCCCTCCCATCACCATTCAGATCCGCAAACTGCACTCCCTTCCCATTCGTCCCTACCCCCGTGCCTATCGTCCCATGCGGGTACCACACAACCTTCGCCGCATTCGGCCCATTATCCGGCCCCCCACCATTTATCTAGGCCATCGTACTCCCATCAGTCCTCGACGAAGCCAGATAATCGGCCCTCCTATCCCCATTGATATCAGCAACCACGACATTATCCCTACCTTGTCCAACACCGGTCGCGATCGTGCCTTGTGGCAGGCAACTCACTTTTGCGGCATTGGCGCCGTTATCCGGCCCGCCGAGATTGAGGTATGCTTCCACAGAGCCATCAGTATTAACATATATATACTCCGCTCTCCCATCTCCATTCAGATCCCCGAACCGGACGCCTGCCCCGTCTTTCCCAACACCAGCAGCAATCTTTCCTTGCGGAAGCCAAGAGACCTTCCCGGCATTAGGCCCATTGCCCGGACCTCCCAGATTCAGCCAGCAGTCTACACTACCGTCGTCGTGGATCTAGAGGTACTCGGCTCGCCCATCGCCGTTGGTGTCCGCGAATTGGACACTGCTGCGGTTGGCTCCTACACCAGAAGCGATGACGCCTTGTGGAAGCCATGATATCCGAGCTGCGTTAGGACCATTGTCTGGACCGCCAAGATTGAGGAATGCAGTCACGCCTCCGCTGCCGTCAACGTATAGATATTCGGTTCGGCCATCACCGTTTAGATCTGCGAAGTGGATAGTTGTGGACAGTGGGTGGGTCAGCTCTGCGATGTCGCATTTATTGGCTGAGATGAGTAAAGCCTGTGTCAGAGGGTCGGCTGAACTTGGCTCGCAATCATAAAGCCCGGATATTTTGTTATGAGGAGTTAGCGTGAGATCTAAAATGAAGAAGCATTGTAATACTTCAAGCCACAGTCGACAGTGAGCCAGAGATTAGCTCCTAGTCCTGCTCCACTTGCGATTTGACCTTGAGAGATCCACGTTGGGTCATGGGCCAAAGAAGCGATCCTCCAGCACACTGGGTGGAATGTCAGGCTCATGCCCACCAGGGCCAGAAGGAGACGGTAATTTCAGAAATGGGTGGACCAATTGTGTTACTTTTAACATATCTTTGCCCTTGCCATTCGTATACTGCTTGTCGCAGACTCGCAGCCATCATACTTGCTGATATTATTTCTTCGGTGAAGCGTTGCATTGTGTGAGAAATGAATTGGGGTGTTCAGTGGGAGAGTTGCAGCGTCAATGACGCTGAACAGCCCGAAACTCAAGACAAGCTGTGAGAGCAACACAAGTATGGCTTTGAGTCAGGTATTATTAGATGTTGATATCAGAATTCTTGGTAATTGTACATGTGTATATAGAGACAGACATTCTGTTTGCTTAGGGGATCCTCTTCTGGCATCCTCGCGAGTCAATTATAGTTTCCTTGTCGTCTATATATAAATTTTGCTAATGCGTATTGCCTTAAATATAGCTACTTCTTCTAGCCTCTTAAGATAAAGAAGATAAGGATTTCAAAGGGCGTGTGCTGCATGGCGTCGAGCTATAAGTGTGAGACTTCGAGTTTTGTTATTGTAAGGTATCAAACCTTAGGATTAAAATAAATAAAATAAAAAAGCTTACTATTCACTAATTGCTATATTTAATAAAAAGCGAAAAGTATAATATAAATAATCAGTTCTATATATACAATTGTACTAAACCGGAACGAAGCACATGAAGAGGAAGTTAGCCAAGTCATCTGCAAAAACCGGCAGCAAGGCAAGAGTATCTAGGCACGGAACTGAGAACAATATTGAGAACAAGAGATTGCGCGAAACAGTCAATAATCTCTGCTTAATATCCAGTTACCGGCTTCTTACGTCTAAACTCGTCCCACTCTCGCACAACACGCGTCTGCTCACGCCACAAAACCTTCTTAGAACCATTACGCTCTAGCTCTAATTCATCTGCAATAACTATTACATCCTTGTCAAACTACTCTAAACTGATTTCATTATTGAACCCGCGCTCCGCAAGATCCCTCCTCACTTGATCCCTAAACAACCCAAGTAATGCTTTCGACTCAATAAAGCTCCTTTGGAAAGGACGCAAAATCGGTTTCGATATTGGGTTTCTTCTCCCTGAGGGCTTGGCCGTAGCTAGCTCACGTTGATCTGCCCGAATTCTGCGAGGGCAAGGAATAATACTGCTTTATTTTCCCACAAATAAAGGCTAAAGAGTTCATGAAGGGTCTTAAATAACTGAATTGTTCTAAAAACTGCCAAATCTGCAGATATGGTGCTGATTGCGATACCTCGCCTGAATATACTCATGTTTAGTAATTGGCAAATTCAAAATCATGCCTTAGATATATTGTATAATGCAAAATATCGAAGCCTTTTTCACTGACAAAGCGAATAGTTAATATATGTCCTCAACATAAATGAGTGTCCAATTCTTTCGAAGATTGATTACATAAAGTAGGCTCTAAGTTTTATGATACCTTTAACCCATAGAGTCCCTGGCCGTCGTACTCGCATACTCGTAATTAGGAAGTATGCAGACAGCGGACCCGAGCCGAAGCCGAACCGGATCTGAGCAAAGGCTGGGCAGGACCGCAGGGTCATCCGAGAATGAGGCGCAGAATGCCAAAATTTCAGAAGTGTCACAAAATTTATGAACGAGAGGTGGTGGTGGCGAGAAAAACTGACTAATTAAAGTTATGTTTCGACTTCGCGCTGTTTCTGACAGTCGGCGCTGGTGAGCGAAAAGGGGGAATAAGCGAAGAATTTTCTTCTCTAACTACACTTTGATTTTCCCGGCATTTGCGGTTCAAATTCCATAAGTCTAGAAGACTAGAACTAGCAGCATGTCAAGGAAGCCTTTACGTTTATCTTTCATTCGTTGCACTGTGACTGCGCTTCTGCCCGACTTGTCACTAAGTCCATCCGTAATTCCGTATCGCGGTTTCCAATTCTACTCCCTGCAGAATATTTCTCGAAGCCAAGAGAATACCCTCTCCCAAGAATGAAGTGCAAAGAAAATCTCTCTCAAAACCTTAGCACCCGACCCCATTCCGTTGCTCGTGAATTTGTTCCGTCAAATTGAGTTCACCTTCGCCTCACGTCTTTAGATGATTGGGCAGCTGCCGAGCAATAATCGGGAATTGCATCAAGTCGTCTTGGAAAGATCTGAAAACCGCTTTTGACCCCACGTACTTGATAGGACTTGTATTTGGCTTCTTCCAGATATCAAACTCTTTCTTCTGTAGAAAGTTCTTGCAGTCAACCACTTGGTAGTGGAATTGCTAAAAAAAGTGCCCATAGCTTTTGCTGGTAGAGATCTATGACAGCCGCCAGAAATCCGTGGTTGCAACGAGGATTTTGAGAATACATGCGCTCAAAGTTTTGGATAGCTTCTTGTTGCGTTGCAGAAAGAGAGTTGGTAGACACGCTTTCTCGGACCATTTGGGTCTCGAAACCTTTATGACGGGTGATGGTTTTTCCTGCAACAATGAACAGCTCGGTCAACATAGCACGCTGCTCCTCAATTCTGACGTCCACTGTCGGCAATGAATAGCAGTTCCGCTCGTGTTGCTTCTTGAATAGCTTTGTAAATTGCATCACTCTTCCAAACGGACCATGCTGTAATAGCATGGCTGACTGACAGTTTCAACTTCCAGAGGACGGCGTAGTCTTCTTGAAGCATGGAAACAAAGTTGCACACCACCCGGTTGTCAATTTCTTTCATCGCCTCATCTCGGAGACTTTTCACTGAGGATGGGCCAAACATTTGAACGATTTCCTGTAATGTAGCTGGCTCCGGTGTGTATTCCAGTGCATCCGCACCAGCAATCTGAAGACAGTCATTTCTGATTAAATCTTTCATAATATTGGCAAATCCATGAATGGCAGCACTTCCCTGTATAAGCAGGTCGAAGTTTCTGTAGAGCTTATCGAGTTCCCTTTTTAGGGATTCAATCATAGCTTGTCTTCCTGCCTCTTCGACTGTTGAAGTGATGGTTTTTTGTCGCTTTGCGGGGGCCACCACCGCACTCGAAGCTGTGGTATAAGTCCGTGATCCCTTTGAGGAAGACATAGCTCAGAGTGTGGACTAAGATCTATCTTTATCGTCAGTTCTCTCCTTCTGGCGCTACCTGGAATGGCACTTACCAGCTCCGAGAAGTGACAATATCTTTGACGGCGCTGAGCGGGAACGCAGTGGATGATATTTGGTGGTAATCTCAAGGCTTTGAAAGGTCTGGGGGGAAAGTGTTCAAGGAATATGCGAAGCCTAGTAATAGGATAACTGTCGAAGGTGAGCTGTTGCAATGGTTGCGAAGTGAATTGGAGTTCGAAAACCACATAATTTATCACCCCCTCCCACACCTGTGTGGTATTTGAACCCTTCAACCACCTCCACCTTCCACCCTTTCTCACAATTAATGAAAAACTTCTGTTTTTGTACTTACAATGTGAAATGCATCAGATCCCTGGCTCTCCCTTACTTCAGATCCAAATAGATAGCGGGTGGTTCTTCATCAATGGTACTTTCCCTACGACACAACGGCAGAATGAATGGTTAGATCGGACGGCTTGGTAAGTGAAGCAGCGGAGGTTGGTATTGGGTCGTGGACCATAATATCTGAACATACGTCTCCTTCGCTCTCTCAGAACGTTTCCGACTACACAAAACATTTTTTTACTTTTAAATCGTCAACGCCGTGATCATTTACTAGCATGTGAATTGTTTACTTCGAACTGATTACGGTCATTTTTGTGGTACCTTTCACAGTTTCACAAAATTCAAAAATTCAAAGAAGCCAAAAATTGCGTAATTATCGGGGGTAATCGTGCGTCAGGACTTGCACTAAAGCCCCTGCGTCCCTGCGGGTTTAGTGCGTATCACTAATATGGTCGAAAATCAGTAATATGGTCGTTTTTTTGGAACACTAACTTTTAGAATTTTAATGCAAATCGCAGAAAAATATTTTACAGTTTATATGGCATTCATACTATAATTAATAAATCAAATTCTCTTACTTTCATATCACATATGTATATAGTAAAAAATGGTGGAAATATTACATACTTCAGGTCATCGGCGACCCCCCCAAAATGCCACTAACTTAGAAATCAATTAATTATATAATAACCACGTCCTATTTCGTATACCTAATAATTATCTCCTCCCCATTAGTATCCAATCTAACTATATTACCAAAACCATTATTATAAAATAAAGAGGGGTTAGGTAGTGGCCTCACAAAACCAAGCTCTCTAGCTAGCATTTCCACCCGCATATCACCAAACTCACTAACCCACTCCTCTTCGTATCCAGGGGAAGCTAGCCTAAAATCCATCTTATTCGCATGAAAAAGCTCTATCTTATGATTAATTTGCCTCTATTCCTCCCATTTTGCCATTAATTTTTGGTAGTAAGCCTTGAGACCAGTATTACCATAATTAATAAATAGTGGTTTATCTCCATAGCCAAAGGGCTCCCCTAAATCGTACGGAGCTATTTCCCCACAAGCACGTCTCCGGTATAGAAGCTTACTAGTAATATGCTTTATAATATATGTATTAGTTTCCTTAATTCGTCGATTTAGGTAGGCATTATTATTCATCTCTTTAGCGGTAAAAAGGAACTCTCTGCGATATGCGATTTAACGAACTACCAAACCCTTGGAAATGACCCCATATTTTTGCACATGCTTCCTGCCCTTATCTAGCTTATTTCGTTATTCCTGGAGTACTGCCTTCTCTCTTACAAGCTCTCTTTCCATAATTAAGCTTGCCCTAAGTAACTTAGGCTTAGCTACTTATTAGTATGCCCTCCAAGATCTCCAAAAACTCGGTATAAGAGCGTACTTCTCCTTGTCCCTTCCAAGGATAAAATAGTCGTCTAAACATTAATATATATAGGTATTATGTGCCATATAATTCGCAGATATAGGGGGGTTTTGGAAGGGTTTCGATATTAGAGGGGTTCATAGAGGTGAAATCTCGGTTTGCTTATTTACTATAAAATTAGCCTATATTATCATATAAATCTATAGCCAATTAATAAACCTTCTTTTAGTATGAATTAAGCTAGCTTATTATATATATACCATATTATTTCTCGCCCTAAAAGGCCTGCTTTACTAAAGGCACTGAGAATTGTCCTGTGCTTAAATATCCTTCCCCGTATTAACTAGTATGCCACTAGAAAATCAAGCTTAGTATAAATAATATTACTATACTGGATTTTATCGTGAATACTAACTTAATACCAGTGCTTAAGGGATTAAAAGAGGCCAATATCGAGTGGTTAGAGGAGGTATGTACTATGTGGTAGTAGTTAAAAAGGGATAATCTTATAGGACTAGTAATAATATAAGAACTTGTCTAAAGTATGGGAGCTATAACCGTCAAAAATCAATATCCTCCACTTGCCCTATATTCGTTAATATATCTGATTATGGAAGTACTTAATATATTTGAGGCTTAAAGCATTATTTATATATCTAGTAGAGCTTATAGCAAAGACTATTTCGGCATTAAGGTCATTATTAAAGTATTCTTCTAATAGGATCTCTCCCTTCAAAATCAGGAATAGTATAATTACTTCGCCCCTAGCAGATATAGTTTCGATCGTAGTAAGTGATTCTCGATTATTAGGATCTGCCAAGTAGACAGCTTTCGTATTAAGGTATATAATAATAATCTTTCTATTCAAAACGCTAATACGAAAGCCAGTTTCGTCCATATTCCACATGTCTTTAAAGCAGATCCCAAACTTCTCTAACGCCCCATAATACTTATTAAAATGCTCTTCCAGATCCTCCTTTCGATTTGCTGCCTTCCGCTTTTGTACTAGTATCTTCGCACGAAGGGTTTTAAACCATGCTTTGTTCCGTTTAAACTATTATTGAGCCCATATACGCGTAACTTGGTGGGTGGACGCGCTCTCAGCTAGAATCTTATTTGCCGCCGCCTGAACCGTTTTGAGATTAGCTTTATGGCCTAAATAGATCAGGAAATCGATAAACTGCTTAACGCCCTCCTACTAATCAGGATTAAGTGCTTTATTATAGGCCCCTTTGGTGTTCTGTGATTTTCGTCCAGCCAAATACGCTTTCCAGAGTCGATATTTTACCCTGAATTGACGCGCAATCGCAGATTTTTTGACGTGTGGGTTTCTGGCATAGAAATCGGAGGCCTGGGCCATCCTTTTCTCTTCTTCAGGGTCATATTTGGTCATGGTGTTAATATTTAATTAATTAAAATCAATAAATGGGAGAAAAAAGCGACCATATTACTGATTTTCGACCATATTACTGTACCGCACTAAACCTGCAGGGTAGCTGGTTTAGTGCGAGCGACGCCGCACGATTACCTCTATGTAAACTTTTTTTTAAGATCTTGTATTACTTTAGGAAGTTATTAAAAATTCTAGTTTTTTTTTGTTAGGAAAAAAAAGCGACCGTATCGCTGATACACACTAAACCCGCAGGGACGCAGGGGCTTTCGTGCAAGTCTTAACGCACGATCATAAGTTGTTTAATTGTGGGGACGATGTTAGAAAGAGCCCTTACGAAATCTTGTTCTCTTTTGCTCTGTCATAAGCCACATCCCTGAGAATCGACGAAATTCCGTTCTCAGTTAACTGTATTCGCTTCAAAACTACGATTCGCGTTGCGCTCGACTCAAGAAAGTGATATGACTCAGCAAACTCTCTCAGTTTCAACTCTCGTAATTGGCAGCTTCTGCGAAAATGAAGCGGACCCCTCTTATATTTACATCAAAAAGGGGGAGGGGCAATGAAAACGCGATAAGCGAGCCCCGCCGTTGCTGTAGTGAACTCATGCATGGATCAGCTCCCCTGCCTGGCTGCCCCGCTCCCGAGATCCAAACAACCTGACCTGCATCTCACCCTCGCCTTACCTCCTCCCTCCTTATTCAACCTACAAACCCACTTCCACCCGCAATCAATCAATCACTCACGAATCAGTCAATCACGAATCAGAGATCAAGAGAGACAAGATGGCAGAAGACGACCGCACCGCCGTCATCGACGAGACGCCCATCAGCCCCGTCCGCGAGTCCTCGCACGTCCGGCAGAACTCGTTGGAGAAGCACCTGCAGCACCGTCCAGATCCGAAGGAATTGCGCGACAGGCACATTCTGCTGGATACTAATGCTGCGCCGTGAGTGCTCCTCCCGAATATGGGTGTAGAAGAGGGGCAGAGCTGACAGTCAATAGAGCCCTGCAAGCAGCAGCACATGAACTCGAGCGTCAGAAAGTGACGGATTCTTTGAAGAAAGGATTGGAGAAGCGTCCACAGAGGGAGGATCTGGTTGAGCGTATGTCCCCTCCTTCCATCTTCCCCATCCCCTCTTTTCCCACATTTCACTCCCTCCACCTTCCCCAATCCATCCACCTTTTACAACTCGATCACTGACGGGAAGGTAAAAAGGCAACATCCTCCCCTCCTCCACCGCCGCCCCTTCCATTCAAGGTCCCGCGCGCGAGCTAGAAAAGCACATGCGCGCCGACTCTCTCAACGAGAAGATCTCGCACCGTCCGAAACCCGAGGATCTGATCAAAGACGGGATTTTGACTGAGGATCCGACGGAGATCCCAAGCGAAGAGGAGAAGAAGAGGGAGGAGGAGGCGGAGAGATTGTATGAGGAGCGGATTGAGGAGGAGTATGCTAAGCGGGAGGGTGGTGCTTAGGTCAGTGGGAGGGAGGGGTGAAGGGACCGGAGGGGAATGGATTTGAAAAGGGACTTTTAGGTCGATAGGTATAATGGAAGGCTAGGAAGGAAGCCAAAATTGATGATGGATGGATGATACGATACCGACGATACCTCATAGCATTATGGTGTGCTTCACTTGGGATTAGGTTTATGGATGGGAAGGCCAAATGACATTATGCGTTGATTTTGCTCTGATTTCATTTGGTGCTTCTCCAATGCTGCAGAACGCCTTCTTCCTTATGCAATCATCCAAAACATAATCGTCTCTGCTTCGGATCACCCGGCAAACCTCCCCTCTCCTTCTTCTCATTCCCCAATCTCGCTTTCTTCGGTGCAGGCGTACTATCCGTTGATTTGCTCTCCGTAGTCTCCTGCACCACATCCCTAATAGTCTGCCGACTCAAACACAGATCAATATGCTCATTAAATGCCTTCTCACTCGCACTTTGCGGCCTTCCACAAATCGGGCAATCCCACCACTCCTCTTCCACCTCTTCCCCCTTCTTTGGGTTCGGCACAATCTCCTTCCCATGATGTCTCCTTTTATCGATCTCCTGACTCAGCGTCTCGAGTTCCTGCATCTCGTCTTCGCGCTCTTGTCGCTCTGCGTCTTCGAAGAGAAGCTCGTCGGGCCAGGATTCCCATTGCTCTTCATTGCTGTCGGGGGTAGAAAGGGTGGAGGCTTTTCGTTTGCTGGTGTCGGTGGAGGGAGAGTCGGATTCGATTGCGTCGAGGGAGGTCGGTTTTCGTTTGAAGCCGAAGAAGGCCATTGTGTCGGGTTTCTTCATACTAACTAGGTGGGTGCAACGAAGGCCCATGAGGCGGAGTTTCATGCCGGGAAATTCTTGCTCGAGTTTTGAGAGCATGGGGAGGGAGTATTTGTAGAGATCATGTGCTAGATAGATGGCTTTGGGTGGGATGACTTGTCTTGTGAAGACTTCGAAGGTGTGGAGTTTGACTTTTAGGCAGATAGTTCGACCTTTGAATTGTGTTCGTACCATGTCTTTCTCTAACTCCTGGGCTGTAGCTAGTAGCTTGTCTCGAAGTTCGGCGGTATTGCTCATTTCTCCAAATGTGCTTTCTGTGCCAACACTCTTCCTTTCGTATTCTTCTGCAGGTTGTACCGTTGTTCTTCCCAGTCCCAGGTAGCATTGCATCAGATATGCAAATGCTTTGTCGCCGAATAACTTTGCCAGATATTGCCGATATTGGTAGATATCTCCACATGTCTTGACTCCAACTGCATCGAGTTCTCTCTCGAACACACGACCTACGCCGTTAACCTTCCTCGTTGGTAGGTCCCTCATAAAAGCCATAATAGCATTTCGATCCCTGGGAAGAGAGAACTGCCCATTCGGTTTATTCTTATTAGAACAGATCTTCGCCAGCTTCGCATTCGCAGCAATGCCAGCAGAAATTGTAATCTTCGTCTTCTCATGAACCTCCCTCCTCAATTGCTCCACAGCTTCTTCCGGCTCAATATTATTCCTCCGGCAATATTCGGTAATATTCAGATACGCCTCATCAATACTCGCACTCTCAAACCGCGGATCATAATCCACGATAATCTCCCTAACCTCCTGCGCCTTCGCCGTATACTTGTCGAAATTCAACTTCAGCATGATTAACTCCGGACACAGCTTCTTGGCCACAAACCCCGCCATCCCACTCCGACACCCAAATTTCCTCGCGTGGTAGTTGCACGTTGTAAGGACGCCTCCGCCGACCGCGAACGGGACGTCCTTCAGCCCTGGGCGATCGAGCTCTTCGACTGCGGCGTAGAAGGCATCGCAATCGATGTGCACCACGACTTGCGATAAGTCTCTTGATAGCTCGAGCTCTGCGATGTATTCGTCTGCTTTGCGTCGGTCTGAGGCGAGGTCAAGCTTCTCTAGTTGTGCCTTCTTTTCGAGAATGCGCTCGATTTTTTGTGTGAGGTTTTTGTCGCGGGCTTCTTCGTTGTTGAAGTATTTGGATCCTTTCGACGCATTGTAGATGATCTCTGAGACCTATAAACGTCAGTACTAATCGCTCATCGTCGAGTTCGAGGCCCTGCCTTCTGCTGGTCGACGTTGTCTTGGCCAGACTTGGTGAGTGATGGCCCAAGGAGGGAGTATTTGAGTGTTTCGTGCTCGACGACCGTCTTCTCTTCTGCGGGTGACTCGGCCATCACCTCAATGTTGCCGGATGTGCTTCCTCCGTTGTCGAGCTCTTGACCATAGGCTGGCCATCTGCGCAGAGGATCCGGGCTTGTTGTGTCTGTTTGGGGAAGAATCGGGAGACGCGATGTCATCAAACACGAAATCACGTGTCGTGGCCAATTTCCGTCCCATCGTTTCTCCCCATCGTTTCTCATCCTCTCTCCCCACATCTTCTCGTCCACAAACCACCTCTCCTTTTCTCGTCCAGCCCTCACCTTCCCCACGGCCATCCACCGCCCTTTTCAATCTCTGTTGCTTGGGTCAATTACCGATTCGCCCCTCTTATCCTCGTTCCTCACCTCCTTCTCAATAGAGTAAACCCTATATATAGCTTTGTAATTAATTATTTAGCCCTTAGCTCCCCGATTTGAAAAGACCTAATAAAGGCATATTATAATAGTATAACTCTTTAATAAGTTATATTTTAAAGAATTTACTTTAATATATATTATAAATATTAATAATTAATAATTTTCAGCTTTTAATATAATAATAATTATATATATAATTTCTTAATTATTTATAGTGCTGTAGTGGGGATTTTGGCTCCAGGTTCACGTGGCGTGGTCAGGTGACCTCCGGACATCCGGTTCGCTTATATATTACCTCTCTCTCCTTCTCTATTTTAGAAACAAACTGTAATGTGTGCAGGGTCGCACGTGACTTAAAGGCATGTAACGAACCTTGGATGTTACAGGTATTAATCAGGGAGATCGGCAGCCCTTTAATACCACAACTAACTACTATTTATATTATATATATTAGACTTATAAATTACTAATTATATATATATTATCGGGGCCTTCTATTTAGAGAAGGCTTCCCTGAACCTTATAGAAAGAACAGAGATTAGTTCTATACTGAATTTAATACTATAGTTTTATAATATACTAATTTATTCTATTATCTTATTACCTACTAATAAATACCTTATAAGCTAATCTCTCTATCTTTAAAAGAAATAGTTCAATAAGTAATTATATCTTGAAATCTGCAAAATATATAATTTCTTACTAGAGCTATTTCTATAAAGGAAGTTAACTAGATTAACTCTAATACAAGTAATAATAAAGGCTTGTCTAATACTTTTAATAGGGCCTCTTAGAAGCCTTTAAAAGCTAGTAATAATAATAATAGAAACAATTCCGGTAATAATTAAGATATTGAGATTAATATTCAAGTTACTATTATCTAAGCTATAGAATAGAGATTATATACTAATATTAAAGTACTCTAATAAAAGCAAGAATTAGTAAATATAATTAACTAATATATCCTATAGTTAGAGTAATATAAGAATGTCTTTAGGAATACTTTATAGTTTACTATATCTTATAGAAATTCTATTTATAAGTCTATTCTATCTTTCTTAATAATTTCTACTAGAGAACTTCCTGAAATAGAATTGAAATCTATTTTCTTTCTTAATATAATAAGCTTTAAAAGTAATCTTAATACTATTTATTAGAAACTACTATATAATATTCTGAAAATATATTTAAACTAAAAGAAACTTTTTAAAGTCCGGATATCTGATTTATATTATAGAAAGTTTCTTAAGAAATAAAAAATATTTATATCTTTCTAGAAAGCAGTTTTTAGGACTTAATCTTAAACTTATAACAGATACTTTTCTAGAATTAACTCTACTATAAGTATCTTTAGAAACAAACTTTATAATACTTAAGAAGCTATAATAAAATAAAGCCTACTATTATATAAGGTCTATTAGAAGCAATTTAAGGCCTATTTAGCTAATATACTTCAAGTACTTTAAACCTATTAATAAGATATCTTTAAGAAGCTCCAAGATCTTTATTAGAAAAATAGTAAGATAGTTACTAAGTTATATACTTGAATAATTAGTCTTAAAGTTAACTAGAATCTATATTCTAAAAGAAACTAGATCTGAACTTTTAATACTACTTTATCTAATTATAAGACTTATTAGATACTTATATCTATTCTTTTAGAAAATAAGATAATATCTATTTCTAAATAATTTAAGAAAGTTTAGAAAGCAGAATATACTACTTATTCCAAATTAAGAAAAGTAAAGACAGAAGAGTCTAGTAAAAGTAATTCTATTTCTAAGAATTCTAATTTAGTAAATTCTGATTTATAAAGCTATTAAAAAAGAAAAGATAAGTTCCGAAAATTATATAAGAAACCCTTAGATAGTATTTCGGCTCTTTTAAGGCTTTAATAAAGTACTAGTTCTATTTCAGATATAGTTTATTAAACTTATAGATATAAAGAGTATTTCTTAAAAAGTATAAAATATTTCAAGTATATTAAATAGGCTTAGTAGAACTCTAATAAGGCTAAAACTATAGAAGAATTAAGATATCTATAGAAGCAGGTTAATACTATTACTATAGAGAAGTACTTTAAAAGAGACTTTTCTAAAAAAAACAGGGGAAAAAAAAGTCAAATCTTGAATATTAATAATTTTAGTTATAATAAAAAAAATATATTACTTTATATAACTATTTAAGTAAGATTAATATAGCTAGAAGTAGATACCTTAAAAATATATAGTAGATTTAGTAATACTAGATCAGATTATAATTTCCTTAATAATAATTAGATTTAAAGCCAGAGCTTTATTATCTTAGCTAAATATAACTAAGAATTTATAATCTTTTATAGAAATAAATTCAAGATCTATTAAGCCTATAATCTTAAGATATTTATTATAGATAATTATAATAAAATATATTCTTTTAAGCTCTAGTTTTATAGGTATAAAAATATTAGCTCTTATAGCCTTGTTTTTAATATAGAATTTTATAAAGTAACTCTTATATAATATATAGACTATATTAAGAAATAATAGATATATATACCTATATAGCCTAATAATATTAAGATTCTAATATCGAAAGAATTCGGTAAAGAGCTTAACTAATACTTTAAACTAGTATCTTAAGTCTTATTCTTAACTAAAAACAAATATAACTATTCTAGATAATAGGCTTTATATATTTGTAATAATTACTAAGTCTCTATTTTATTATATAGTTCTAGTAATACTAAATAGAAGTTTTTAATATAGTAAATTAATACTTTCCGGAAAAAGACTTTAAAGGTATCTATCTATTTCCGGAATAATAAATATAAAGACTTTTTAAAGGTTTTTAACTCTAATAAAGCTTTAGAACTTCCTGATTTTAGTAATATTAAATACTCTATTAATATAGATAGTATAGTTCTATATAGGCCTTTATATAATCTATTAGAGACCTAACTAAAAGTATTATATTTGTATTTATAGAATATACTTTATAAATATTAGATAAGGTCTAGTAAAAGCCTAGTAAAGATATTTATTCTTTTTATTCCTAAAAAGAATAAAGAACTATATCTTTATATTAATTATTATAGATTTAATTAAGTTATAATTAAGAATTAGTATCTGCTTTCTTTTATTAATATGACTTTTAACCGGCTCTAAGAAACTAAGATCTTTATAAAACTAGATCTTAAGAATATATATTATCGAATAAAAATTCATAAAGAATATAAGTAGAAAACAGCTTTTAAAACTTACTATAGCTATTTTAAATATTTTATAATATTTTTTAGGCTAGCTAATATACTAGCTATATTTCAAATATATATTAATACTATATTTATAGGGCTTCTGGATTATTTTATAATTATTTATTTAGATAATATTTTTATTTATTTCTAAAATAAAGATAAATACTATAATTATATTTACTAGATATTTATTAGATTATATAAAAATAACCTGTTTTATAAATTTAGTAAATATAAGTTTAATATTAAGAAAATTAAATTTTTGGGCTTTTTTATTAGAATAGAAAGTATTTATATAGATTCTAAATAGATCTATAGTATTATTAAATAGCCAGAACTAAAATTATTCTATAATATTCGAATATTTCTTGGATTTACTAATTTCTATTATAGATTTATTTACTATTACTTTTAGATAACTATAGGCTTAATAAATCTTTTAAAAGAAATAAAAAAGAGCCAGAAATCCGATTTCTTTATATAGATAAATAAAGTAGCTAAAAGCTTTAAGACTTTAAAAAAAGCTTTTACTATAATATCTATTCTAGTCTATTTTAATTCTTCTAAGAAAATTTATATTAAAACTAATATATTGAAATTTATAATTACTAGTACTATTTTATAATAAGTTAATTCTAGTAATAGTCTGAAAAAATACTAGTATCTAGTAGTATTCTGATTTCGGAAACTCTCTAGAGTTAAATATAATTATAGTATCTATAATAGAAAGCTACTTATAATTATTAAAGCCTTTAAGTATTAGTACTATTACTTTAAAGAATCCAGATTTATAATTAAGATTATTACAGACTATAATAATCTCTAATACTTTATAGAAATAAAGTATCCAGAAAGCTATAAAGTATATTAAATAATATATCTTATAATATATAATTTTAATATTATTTACTATAGAGATATCTCAAATTCAGTAAATAGATCTAGTAGAAGATCTAATTATAAAAAAGGTTCTATTAATATAACTTGGTTTCTAATCTTTTAAAATAAACTAAAAGAAGCTTTTATAATTATAATTTAGAGGTCTTTATAGATATCTGAAAAGTTCTTTCTTTAAAATAAATATTATTTAATACTTACTATATCTATAGTAGCTAAAAAGAAATATTTACTATAAAATAAGTAAATAGATTATCTTACAGATTTCTTAACTATAAAATTAGTTAAAAAATAAGATATAGAAAAATATCTTAAAGACTTTATTATTATAGCTAAGATAATAGAAATATCTATAATTATATTACTTAATAGAACTAAAGACTTCTTAATTTCTCGAGTTTTTAAATTAGATAGTTATAAATATCTAATTTCTTATATATAGATATATATAGCTATTAAAAGAGCTATAATACTAGCTTTTCTATCTGGATTTCTTCTAGATATTATTTAGATAGCTTAAAGAAAT